GGAATGCTCGTCACAGGAGACAAACAAAAACCAAAAGGTTAAGAATACTGATTGGGTGGGTGGAGAGGAAAAAAAGGGGAAACAGACATGAGAGTAACTAGCAACTTCCTTGTTAAGAGGAGCAGGCTCAATATAAAGTTTTTGTTGTTCAAACCTGGAAGGACCAAACTTGCTAAAAAGCAAATCGCTGAAGATGAAGTGACTGCACAGAATTTTAGAGATGTTAAATTGCTCAAGCATTAACTGAGCTGCCAAGTAGGTTAGAAAAGTAGGCTGTTTCCTCACCATCCACAACCAGGGCAAAAACATTTTCCTCAATTTTCTGCCACCACCATTTCCTCAGCTTCCCTAACGACACAAGCACTTGTCATCCCCTCCTCCACTAACATGTGGGCCATGAGCCCAGCCTGATGTCAACTACAACAGACATTAGCCTCCTTCCAGCTGTTTCCCTTATCCACCCCCCCACCCCCCAGTTAAAGGTAAATTCATCCTGATCAGACAGGAACTGCACTCACCTGCTCGGGTTTCAGCCCTGTGAAGCAGAACATGCCAATCTGGTCAGTGATGTGCTGCCAGTTGTAGGAGGAGCCCTCTTTCTTGAGGTTGGACACCAGCTGGGTGCGCATGCCAATGATCCGGTCAGCCATCCCCTTCACCTCTCCCAGCCTGCAGGGACAGCACATGTATGAACACAGGATGCAGACTAGGACAGGGTAAAAGCAGCATCCTAATGACTCCAAGGCTTCCCTCTCCTCACTGCACATCCAGTCAAGAGGCAGCTTGTCTGCCTGGAGTGCACTGCTGCTTTAACCTGGCTATATACTCTTTCACTGTGCAATGGGCAAGAGATCACTGAAGTGAAAGAGGCAGAACAAAACTGAAGGTCTTAGTTGAGTCAGTGCTGGCTACAATCTGCTCTTCTTCCTTGGTAATGGAAGACAACTGCTTTTTACTAGCCCAGAGAACAGCAACTCTCAGCCAGCATTCTGCTCCATAGCAGCACTGTTAGGTATGCAAACATGTACACATGATTCACAAGATAAACCCAGAGATTTCATGTAGGAATCCATTCAAATGGAAAAACATTCTGACCTGCTGCAGTCTTCCCAAGATCTTTGCTACAGGCACACTGTTCTATTATTTTTCCAGCCTAAGGTTGAGAACCACCGCCCTAAAAAGTTCTGTGACAGACTCCTGCTCAGTGGGGACCAAGCTGAGACCCACGATCTCTCAAAGCAGAGGGTTGGGACAACATATCACACAAAAAAACAGAGTTATCGCAAAGAAGCCTAAGTTTCTGACACAGTTCATGATAAAGTTCGGTTCAATAGATGTAACTAGGAATGAGAGACGGAAATAAAAAAAACCTGGCAAAATAACTAGCTGACACAATACACAGAAGCAATCTATCCAAGCCTCATCTGCTGGGGCTTAGGTCTATATACATGTATTTCAGGCACACAAACATCAGGCTAGATATGTGCCTGCCAGAAGGAGAGAGAGTAGCACAGCATCAACCAGCAGAACAAAACTTTCCCTTTGTTCTGCAAAATTGACTGCCTACAGGGACACTGAATTCTACCAAACTATCACAAGGGCTGGGAAAGGGGGATGGAGTTATATCAGAAAACAGGAGTGAGGGTGGGAGGGCTATCACCCTTGGTCTTTCTTGGGGCAGTTGAAAGTTCAGACGCATGCTCCCACTTCCCCAGCTGAGATGTACTTGGGTGGGGAGAAGGGAAGGCCATGACACCAGCCAGACCCTTGGGTGCCCAAAGCTGTAGGGACAGACAACAGGTCTCTTGAAGAGTGAAAGCTAAGTCACCATCACAGCTGTTTCGTGGTTTCTTAAAAATGGAAGGGAACAGCACATGCCAGCCTGCATTTCTACCGGGATGATGCCACACGTGCAGGTGTGTAATTACCATGAAATTCTGAATAAGCTACTATTTGATACAGTTCCCTTGAGGGACAAGCAATAAAACACATTAGCCAAAGGAAGGTGCAAGATAAACTACATTTAAATAGGGAAGCTCTAGAAGTGCATGTTACACACCCACAGCAGCCAAGAGGCTTGCAGGTAAATAGATGTGAAGTGGCTCTGCTCTTCATTCATTCACTTTGCAGCTTCTTGCCAGGGCTCCACAGCCCCATAAGACAGAAAATCCAAGCAGGGAAACCTTTTCAGCGGTGCATTTGAGCTGGGGCTCCCAAGAGTGGCAGTCAGCCCCAAGGGAAACAGAGAAGCATCTCTCCTGGAGCCAAGTCACCAAGCTGGCTCAGTGGGACAAATGGGCCCTGCTTAGGAGCTCCTCTCCCAAGAGGAAGCCTCTTGAAGCATCTCCTTTCTTGAGGGAGGCAGTTGAAGGATAGGCCATGGGCCAGAGGACCCTCTAGTGCAGTTTTATTCTGCTGTGTTCCCTCCCTGCGATGGAGACATTCCCATGTCCTGATTTATTTAATACTTTGGCCTGCATTGTTTCTACTCAGCCTCTTCCCCACCATGAGCAGATAAGGAAGAAGCTGGTATCTGGTGGAGGAGACTTGTTTTACCATTCTTGCCGCAGGTCAGGGCTGTTCAGGATGGTGGAGGCAATCCGGGCTCCATTGATGGGTGGGTTCGAGTACATGGGACGGATCAGGATCTTCAGCTGGGACTCCACCCTCTTGGCTTCCTCTGCATCACTGCAGATGACGGTGAAAGCACCCACACGTTCCCCTAGAACACAGGTCAGGCCAGGCCAGGCGAGGTCAGATCAAATCCTTCTACTATAGGGGTGGGCAATTATTTCAGGTGGAGGGCCGCTTACCCAGTTTCGGCAAGCTGTTGAGGGCCACATGGGTAGCCCCACCCCTTGACAGGTGCCCCACCCCCTGGTCACGGTCTTGGGACCAATGTCCCAATGTCTCAGGGCCAGCACCAGTGGGGCCCAGACCAGGGCGCAGGCTGGCAGGGATCTGTGGAGCTGGGCTGGGCTGCACTAGCAGGGAGAGGAGGGAGCTGGCCTGGCTCCACAGAGCCCCTGCCAGCCGGGACCCTGTACTGCTGCTGCTCTGCTCTGGGCCCTGGGACACCAGTGTGCCCCGTGCACCTGCTTACTCCCAGTGGCCCCCCAGCCCCACAGCACAGGCTGGGACCAGTGTGCAGTCCCAACCCCCTGCTCCCCAGCAGGGACAGAGCTGGTGCTGAGCACAGGGAAAAGTGGCCCCTCCCCTGTCTGGAGTTCCCTGCTGCAACTGCTCACAGCCCACATAGGACTGTCCTGAGCAGGTACAGGCAGCCCCATGTGGGCTGCGAGCAGCTGCAGCACAGGGCGCTGGCTGGGGGCGGCCAGGCCACTTTTCCTATGCTCAGCTCCAGCTTCCTGCCTGGGCCCTGTGCGGGCGCCGGTCTGGCCTGGTGGAGCTGCCCTGCGGCAGGAGCAGCTGCAGCCCCCCCCCCCGCTTGCCACACCAGGCAGTGTTTGCCATCACCACCTCTGTGCTGCCCAGTGCACGAGCTCTGGGCGGGCAGCAGCAAACATTGCCCAGCGCGACAAGTGCGGGGGCCACAGCTGCTGCTGCCATGCACAGCCCCAATGGACGAGCCTGGAGCCGGCAAGGTGCCCAGGCTGGCTGTGGGGGTGAGTTACAAGCTGGTGCTGAGCACTGGAGAAGCGGCCCCTCCCCCGCCCCATGGCTGGCACCCCATGCTGCAGCCGCTCAAATGGGGCTGCCCGTCTCTGCTCAGGACAGCCCCGTGTAGGCTGCTAGCAGCTGCAGCAGGGAGCACTGACCACGGGGCGAGGGAAGGGCTACTTTTCCCCAGGCTCCTTCCCTGCCCAGGGTCCTCCCCTGCCCTCCCTGAGTTTCTGGTTTGGTACAGGCACAAGGTCCCTGCTGGGGCTTCTGGCTGGGGGGTGGGGCCGGGGCCTGTTGTGGGAGCCCACTGGGCTTCCCCTGGGTCCTACTGCCCCTGGTTCCTGTCATTTTTTACATGAACCAAAGACAGATACATCTTTTCTAAATTATTTAGGGGGCCTGTGGGCCGTATTTTGACCACCCCTGTTCTACCACAACAGCTGCTGCATGTTACAGGACTGCTGTGTTTTGATTAGACCTGCCCCATGACAGCATAGACCTCATTCACGGAGCAAAACATGCTCAGGGATACAGACCATCCATTTGTTCACAGCTACAGCAGCATGCACTTTCATGTCTCCTCCTAGAGGCTGAGTGAGGACAAAGACCAGATGGGATGAGGGATGCCTCTAGGGTGGTCTTGAAAAAGCAATGACTTTTGATCACTACAGCATGAATGGCTTTCCCCATCAGCAGCCTGGAAATGAAAGTTCTCAGAGAGCATCATGGATCCTACAAGCCAACTCTCCTTGCTTACCATATAGGCCCATGTTCTTGGCGTAGGACTGGGACAGCACAATGTTAATGCCTTGCTCAATGAAGTGACGCACAGCCCAGGCGTCCCTGTTGATGTCCCCACTGGCGAAGCCCTGGTATGCCATGTCGAAGAACACAAAGAGATTCCTTTGCTGCAAGTGAAAGCAGAGGTTTAGCAATTCACCCAGGTTCCTTCTCACAACTGAACCCCCATTTCACCAGTGATGACAGAACAAGGAGCAACAGTCTCAGGTTGCAGCAAGGGAGGTTTAGGGCAGATATTAGGAAGAACTCTCTCACTCAGGAGGGTGGTGAAGCACTGGAATGGGTTACCTAGAAAGGTGGTAGAATCTCCATCCTTGGAAGATTTCAAGGCCTTGCGCAACAAAGCCCTGGCTGGAATGATCTTGCTGGGGATGGTCCTGCTTTGAGCAGGGGTTTGGACTAGATGACCTCCTGAGGTCCCGTCCAACCCTAATTTTTTATGATTCTATGAAGAGTAACACCAACACAGAAGTCAGACATTGACACATGAATCAACTCTAACTCAGCTCACCTTTACCACAGAGGCCAGCTCTTTCCATTGCTCTGGTCTTGGGTCCACACCCGTAGGGTTGTGAGCACAGGCATGAAAGAGGATGATGCTCTTCTCAGGAATTTTCTAAGGAAGATGTTAGAGAGTAATGTGAGAGAGCTGTAAAAGCTACCTTTTCCTTCTTCAGTAGCAGATGCAGGCTGCTGTACAAGACACAAGTGAGAGGCCCTGGGGCAAGCAGTGATTTAGAAGACAAAGTAATGCCAGAAAGAAGGAGCTGACCAAGGCAGCAGCAAGGAAATTTGCCCTCAGGAGTGTGAAGAGTCTTGCAAGTCTCAAACCAAAGTTCTGAGAACTCCCACACTCCAGTTATAGGGGGAAAGAGGTCTGAGTCAGGCTCAGCCTAAAGGTTATACAAGGATGCTCAAGAACCCACAGATGCTACTAGAGGTGCATCTATAGCTATATATCAGATAATCAGCTCGATGGGGCCAATAATTTGGCCGACAAGCGCCCATGCTGCATGCAGCCGCAGTGCAGCAGAGCGCACGGTATGGAGAGCTGCCTCCAGCTGCTAAGTCCGAAGGGGGAAGGATGGGGCATGGGGGCGCAGATCAATGCCCACTGTGGCGAGCAGGGTGGGGCAAGGGCAGGCACTGCCCAGCCAGGGTTGGGGGTGGGGAAGCGCATGCGGGACAGAGGTGTGGCTCATGGGGGGAAGGGGACAGCTCTCACCGCTGCTTGCACCACGGGAGGGCAGTGGGGGTGTCAGGGGGAGTGTGCCCCCGGATCTAAACAGTGCGGGGCAGGCTGCAGCTGCAGGATGGAACCAGCCCGTGCAGCTCTTTTCGCTGGAGGCTGGGCTTGGACTGGGCTCCAGAGGTGCTGGGAGGAGGCTGCAGTCACCCAAAATTTTGCCGCAGCTCTGCTCCCAGCCCCTTGCTGCTGCCCGGCACAGCCGCTGCTCAACACCCCGCTTCCACCCAAGCACCAGGAAAAGTCCTGGCTGTGCCGGGTAGCAGCATGGGGCTGTGGCGAAACTTGGGGTGGTTGCAGCCTCCTCCTAGTGCTGCTGGAGCCTACTCTGAGCCTAGCCTCCAGTGAAGAGCCCCACACAGTGCTGGCTCCACCGTGCAGCTGCAGCCTGCCCTGCGCCACGCAGGTTCCCCCCACCCTCCCAGGATGCAAGCAGCGGCAGGAGCCTCCCCCCACCAGGAGCCAAGCCTAAATCCCATGCCCTTCCTCCCCCCGCACCTGCCCCTTGCCTCACCGCGTGGGGGGGGGGCGCGCGCGGGCGGCATTGATCTGCCCCCATGACCCTTCCCTCTCCCCTCCCCTTCCACCACAACACACTTACCAGCTGATGGCAGCTGTATTGGATATCAGATCAGTATTGGCCCCCAAAATCTCTATTGGTGTACCCCTAGATGCTACCTTTGTACACCACCCTGATTCCAAATCCAACTCACAGAAATGTCATCCAAGGCTCCAGAGAAGTCAAAGCCGCAGGTCTTGGGATCATAGTAGCGATAGGCCTGCAGCTGCAAGCCTGCATCTCTGAAAATGGGGGTGTGGTTGCCCCAGGATGGTTTAGGCAGGTACACGTCACGGCTAGACTTGAAGAATCGTTGCTATGGCAGAGAAAGAAAATGTGTTGAAGTGGGAGATTCAGGGTCCCAGGGCCCTGAATGTGCTGCAACCAGATATGTCCCCTCTCATCACCTCCTAGGGACTCACCAGGAAATTGGCTCCAATTCTCAGAGACCCAGTCCCAGAAATACTCTGCACAGTGACATACTGCAAAGAAAGAAAGGTACAAACATGTAAGACTCTGACCTGCCACACATGGCATCAACCAGGTTGAACAGATACTGACATCTTAAGTGCTTCCTGGGCAAAGAGCAGAGAAGTATCTAGTTCATGTGTTTTAACTCATCACTAGGAATCCAGGTGTTCCGATTCCAATGGAAAAACGTAGATTTTCTCCTTTAAAGGACAACAGCATGGGAAGCTGCAGGTTTCCCTTGCAGGCTGGCAGCCTTCCAACCTGCAAGGAGCTGTTTGGGGTTGGGGGAGAGCAATTGGAAGCAGAAGGTGCCATGTGTATGCACATGCATGCACACATGTGGCTGGCATACAGCCAAGCAGTGTGGTTGGAGCAGCCCTGGGAGCTGGATACAGAAAGTCTGGGGCAGGGGAGGAGGGCAGGAAGGTCAGGGCTTAGGGACTGTCCAGGGGCCTGAGGAGGGGGGCACCTCGGTAGAGGGCCTGAGTAAAGGCTAGTGCCTGCTGGTGCTGGGGGAAGGTGTCCAGGCACCAGGGCTGTGGCAAGTCAGGGGGTTCCAAGGCAGCACTTGGTGCTGCTGGCAAGCCCAGCACTGTGATGTTGGCAGCAGGGCCCTCCCAGAGGTGCCTGCCCCTCCAGGAGGGGAAGGGGGTGTGGGATCCTTCAGGGTTCATAGATTCATAGATGCTAGGGTCGGAAGGGACCTCAATAGATCATCGAGTCCAACCCCCTGCATAGGCAGGGAAGAGTGCTGGGGTCAGATGACCCCAGCTAGATGCTTATCTAACCTCCTCTTGAAGACCCCCAGGGTAGGGGAGAGCACCACCTCCCTTGGGAGCCCGTTCCAGACCTTGGCCACTCTAACTGTGAAGAAGTTCTTCCTAATGTCCAGTCTAAATCTGCTCTCTGCTAGCTTGTGGCCATTATTTCTTGTAACCCCCGGGGGCGCCTTGGTGAATAAAACTTCACCAATTCCCTTCTGTGCCCCCGTGATGAACTTATAGGCAGCCACAAGGTCGCCTCTCAACCTTCTCTTGCGGAGGCTGAAGAGGTCAAGGTGTTCCAGTCTCTCCTCATAGGGCTTGGCTTGCAAGCCCTTAACCATACGAGTGGCCCTTCTTTGGACCCTCTCCAGGTTATCCGCATCCCTCTTGAAGTGTGGCGCCCAAAACTGCATGCAGTAC